TCAGGTTTGTAGCCTAGGAGCAACTGGCTGTACCACATGGCCTAATTATGCAGTAGGCTACACCATCTAGGTTTGTGTAAGTACATTCTACGATGTTCAAATGCCCGTGGAATTGCCTAACGATGCATTTCTCACAATGTATCCTTGTCGTTAAGCAAAGTGTAACTGTAGTTCTTTCTCTGGCCTAGGGTATTTTTATTTTCATACAATTGCAGATTAGTATCAAGCAAAAACTTGAAGTCACTTTTCTAAAGACCTCTGGTATACTCTCTGTTCAGCTCCATTCTCTTTTGTGGTCTGTCCCACAAACTCTAACTGCCTCAGACTCTCGAACTCATATTTTCTGTCTTCTCAACTCAGGGAGATTGCCAGACTCTTTTCTGGTTTCCTCTTCCTGAGCTACAGTCTGGAAACTTCATGTAGTAAGCTGGGATGATCATAGGGTCACTTTATTTTCCTTCTCTAGAGATTACAATCTTATATATCATATTGCCCAATAAACTAGTATTTAATATATTTTTCTTCTTGTCTAGTTGAAGACTTCTATTATATAAGAAGGGGATGTCCATAACAGCAGTTTTTATCAAAAAGAACTCTACAGAAAGCACATGATCAACAAAAGCATTGTTATGGTAAAAGACTCTTTGACCTTATGGGAAAAATTATTCAAGAATAATTAAGAAATCAATATACTTAATGAGCATCTACTACATGCAACACAAAATATATTTATTTTTCCTCACACGAGTATACTGGTAAAAAATCTAGACCATGTCAAATTAGACCAGCAAACACTCTGATGCTGACACATTTAGGAAACTGCTTTTCTTCAGTTGTTTCATTATGCATAATTTGTCCATTTTATCATTCCAATCTATAACTGATAATCTTTGTTGTATATTGTACCACATTTAATTCTAGTTCTAGTTCTTTCTAATCCTACTTTGATATTCTAATCTTGAACCCTCCTTTTTAGCTATGTATACACACAATTTGCAGCCTTATTCTTCCATTTTCACAACAGAATAATTGTTTTTTTTAAATTAGAATATTGCCACGTAGCAAAATCAGAAAAGAAACGTTTTTTTAAAACCCTATTTAATTAGAAAAAAACTGTCAATACTGCATTGTTTAATTTTATTATTTTAATATTACTGTGTATTTATTGTTATTCTAGTAACTCCTATGCTTTTGAAAATTGGAGCAATAGTGGAAAAGACAGAAGTATGATATCCATGTTACCATCAAGTGAAATAAAATTATTTATTCCCACTATGGTTTTGATGTATGATATTGATTAATTTCTATGTATAAGTATCTCTACATTTTTCTACCCAAACTATAGAAGAGCAGTTGTGAATATTCTTAGGAACTTATTGTTGGCTGGTTCAACCAGATATCCTCTCTGCCTGTCATAATTCAAGTCTACCTTCTAACTTTCTCAAAGGCAATATCTACTTATGTCTACATGCGGCGCCATCATTTAGTGTTTGGTGAACTCTCAGGGTTGTGCAGTGTAATAGTTTATAAGAGATTCAGATAAAGTCTTTTTCTGGATTTAAAAAGAGACAAAAATCCCAGGACTACCAAAGCAGCAATACAAACACAGACAGCATGGACTAAAAGTAACATGTTATAAACTTTTCGGAAGACTAAGAATGACACGTAAAATAAATAGATGGAGAGTAAATAAATAGTTGGAAGATGAAACAAAATTGGGAAAATAATTAATAATATACATTATGCTTTGCCAGTGAACTCATAGGCAAAATCCTACAAAGGATCTCACAGAGAGACAAAGAAAATTTTATTTTTGATTGTATTTTTAATAAGATTTTATTATGAAGATCCCTAAAAAGAACCTAGGCATATTGAAAATAGTATATACTTGTAAATAGATACTTAGAGTAGAATATATTATATATATCATAGATAGATAACCTATATTTATATCTATATTTATATCCACATCTACATCTATATTGTCTTGGTGGTAGAAGAGAGGGACATTAAATCCCTTTCCTACTACAGAGGTGGGAAGTATTTTTCTGTCCATTATTAAAAGTTGCTACACATCATTAAACCAATGCATCATCTAGTCCACTGTCTTATCACTATCCAAAATGATGTTTTCTGTGTAGTGCTATTTTGTCATATGGATTATCCCCTGATAGAAAGGAGATCAGGTGTTATGAGATGAATCATAGAACTAAATGTAAAATGCAAAACTGTAAACCTCCTAGAAGATAGCATAGGAGAAAACCTAGATGATGTCGGGTATGGTGATGACATTTTAGATTTAACACCAGCAGCACAAAGAAAGAAAGAATTGATAAATTGGACTTCATTAAAATGAAAAATTTCTCTGGAAAAGACAATGTCATGTGAGAAGACAAGCCCCAGTCTGGAAGAAATATTTTCAAAAGACACATCTGATAAAGGACTGTTATCCAAAATATACCAAGAACTCTTAAAACTCAACGATAAGAAAAAAAAAAAAAACCCAATTAAAAAATGGGCCAAAGATTTTAACAGACACCTCTCCAAAGAAAATATACAAATTGCAAATAAGCATATGAAAAGATGTTCCACATCATGTCATCAAAGACATGCAAATTAAAAGAACACCAATGTTATTGATAATAGGTGTGAGATACCACTACACACCTATTAGAATAGACAAAATCCAGAACCTTGACAGTACCAAATGCTAACATGGATGTAGAGCAACAGAAACTCTCATTTATTGCTGGTGGGAATGCAAAATGTCCAGCCCCTTTGGAAGACAGTTTGGCAGTTTCTTACAAAACTAAACATACTCTTACCATACAACCCAGCAATTGTATTCCTTTAGGTTTACCAAAAGGACTTGAAAACCTTAATAATCTTTGCATGGATATTTATAGAACCTTTATTCATAATTACCCAAACTTGGAAGCAACCAAGATGTCTTTCAGCAGGTGAATGAATAAACTGTGGTATATCCAGACAATTGAATATTATTCAACACTATAAATAAATGAGCTATCAAGCCATGAAAAGACCCGGAGGAAACTTAAATTCATATTCCTAAGTGAAAGAAGCCAATCTGAAAAGGCTACATACTGTTTTATTCCAATTATAGGACATTCTGGAAAAGGTAAAATTATAAGGACAGTGAAAAGATCAGTGGTTGTCAGGAGCTGAGAATAGATGGAGAATAGAAGATTTTTAGGGCAGTGAAACTACTCTGTTTGATACTATAATGGTGGAAACATGTCATTATACATTTGTCTAAACCCATAGAATGTACAACACCCTAAGTGAACTCTAATGTGGACTATGGGTGATAACAATGGATTGGCTTTGGATGATAATGATGTATCAATGTGGTTCATCAACTGTAACAAAAGCATCACTCTTTGGGGGATGCTAATATTGGGGGTAAGGCAAGCATGTGTGGGGCAAGGAGTATGTGGGAAATCTCCCATTTTTTCTGTGCATCTAAAACTGTTCTAAAAAAATAAAGCCTTAAAAACAAAAGAATGTGGTTTTGTTTGCATCTAATTAGATTAAAAAGGCCATCATTCCTATTGCAGCTGAACTCTTCTTCCTGTATCTGCAACCAATCTGCGAGGAGAAGGCGACTTATCTATGATATGGCATTGAGAATTATCCCCAAGAGACCTAGACAGGTGGACCCTGGGGCTTAAAATCCTTCCTGTTTATCTCTAAGCATCATTTTCACGATAGCATGTGTGGGAGAAAATAACATATAGCTGTAAATGCCCATCACTAGTGTTTATTCTGCAAAGTGATCTCTGTGCCCCATTGCCATCCTTTGCTTTCTTCCCTTTGTGGAAATTTCCTGTTTCTCTTTGAGAAAGATAATTCAATCCTGTTTCCATTGCTCTTCCTCCCAGGCTGCTATAGAAAACACACACACACACACACACACACACACACACACTCCACACAAAAGGAATTATAAAAAAGTTCTTTTCACAGTCGCTCGTACTCAGCTCTGAAGTTCAGAATTCATATGTCTTAGGTATCCAGATGATCCCATCCCAATCTGGAAAAAGCCTCTTCTCCAACTTTCCCTCTCAACCTACCACAACCTCTGACTCCTCACAACACCGTCGAAGGAAAATGCATTCTTTGCCTGCCCGGAAGACTCTGCAACCCAATCGATTATAAAAAAGAAAATGAAAAATTGCCGCCTAGACTTAGGTCTTGAGCGCCACTCTCGTGGGCAAAGCCCCACAGAAGAAATCACTTCTCAGCCTGCAATCCTCAGAGTTCGGGGCCAGGGAGACACTAGCCAGGCGGTGTTTTCTGGCTCCCTACCCACTCCCTCAGACTCAGGCCTTTGCCATCGGTCCCCACCTCCCCTGCTCCAGAGTTTTTCTCCGGCTCCCCACCAAGCCACACAAAGTGACTTCTCGGAAACGTTAGCAGATTCTGCTGAGCTGGAAGGGAGGAAGGTGATGAGGGGGGCGAGGTAGGGAACGGAAGGGCTCTTCTGGAGGCTGGACACACATACACACAGGCACACGCCCCGCCCAATGGGTGGCCGTGGGTGGGATCCCGTGCGACCCCCTCCTCTGCCTTCTAGTAGCACACTGTGGAGAGGCTGCTGCATCGCCTCCACCGCGCCCCTAGCTCGGTCCCCGCCCTGCGCCGCCTGCAGGAGAGGAGGGAGGGAGCCAGGGGTGGCGCCCCGGGAGCAGAGGGAGGAGTAGAGGAGGAAAAGCAGCGCTGCTGCCCGCGGAGAGGCGGGGCTGATACCTCCCTGGGCGCGCCCTGGAAGGAGGGACGCAGTCTCCGTGCAGGCCCTGCAGCTATCTGGTTTCCAATTCCGCCGGCTCGGCTGCCTGGAACTGGGCTAGCCTCGGTACCAGCGGTGGTAGCGGCAGGGGTCCGCATAGCAACAGGAGCCCAGAGAAAAAGGAAGAAGCAGCAGCGGAGAGAGCGGAGCAGGGGAAAAGAGAGGCCGGAGTGAGGAAGGGTTCCTTGCAGCCCGCGCCCTCCCCTGGGGCCAGATTCTGCAGGTGCACAGGGTGGGAATGGTCCGCCCGCAAGGTCTCAAGTAAGTGCCTTTTCTTTTGCTCCTTCGGTGTGGCGGGAAGGGAAGCCGCCAATCTTTCGCCGGAGCTCCACTCAGCCGCCACACCCACCTGTGTCCATTTTCACATCTCTCGGTTTTGGCCACCCTATATTACGCCACCTGGAAAGTAGAGAGGAGAGCAGCTCGGAGGGGTGGTTCTAGCAACTGGAAGAAGAGAACTGGAAAGGCATTTATTTCGATGGCAAGGCTGCTCCTTTGCTGGTTTTGACCGTGTGGGTTTACTGCCAGGTAGTGATACTTCATGGTTTATTGTCTTTTATTTTTTTCAGTCTACACTAGCAGAGTTGTTAGATGGGCTTCAGTGCCAGGGGCAGTTCGTATTCATTATGAGCAAAAAGCATGTGCTATATTTCTCATCTGCAAGGCTGGCGTGCAGAACCAACATAGCTGGCATAACCTGTGGGGAGATCCATCTAAGTGCACACAAAAACAAATAATTGACAAGATAGTTTAACCCCTATTTCTCCATGCAGTTTATTTTTTTTTTTTCAAGAGAATAAGCACTTTATGGCGAAATTCAGATAAGATTCAAAATCATTTTAACATTTTATCAGCTTCAACTGAAACTATCATTAACTTTTAGGGGGAAAAAAGGATATTTTTGTTCCTTGTATTAAAGACAAAAGATTGAAGCAAGATTACCGGCCAAAAAAGTTTAATGCCAGTTTTTGTGATTATAATAAACATTTTACTTATTATTTTAGTATTTTTTCAAAAGTTGCAGTGTTCATAGTAAATTATATCTCCTCTGAAGTTAAGAGCAATTTTCAAGAGAGAAGTTTAGGGGAGTTTTTAAAAAACTCATTTCAATAATATAAAGAGCAAATCAGTGTAAGCTTTTAAGAACATGATAGATATTCAGTTACTGAGTGTGATATCAGTGTTGGGAGGTTCAGTTCTTTACAGAAACACAATTAATGTTCTTTTCTATTTTTTCTTCCCTGTAGACAGGGAAAAGGTTTTCTTTCTTTCTCTTTCTTTCTTTCCTTCTTTCTTTATAACTTAATATATATTTTCATGATTTTTGCTTTAACATCAATAAAACCTATATATAATCTGTAAAACAAATCCAGTTATTAAATTCTCCATTTTATTGAAAAGTCTTCAAATTCTTTTCCTACTATTTTTTAAAAATTTAAACTAGAATTTACTTTTTTAGAATTTATGGTAATTAAGAATTTTTAAAAGTTTCATTGATTTTTTTTAAAGCTGGTCTCACCTGATCCCTATGTATGGAATTATCATGATTGTTAGACTAGCTTATTTACAACTGAATGCTATGTGCCCTCTATGTAGCCAATAGCTTGGCTGAAGATAGGTTTTTAAAAATTTGGTAGGCTTTTAAAAGGAGGTTTTCTTTTAGAAGTAACCATTGTGCAGTCATGGGGCACAGTGATGTATTTTTACAGAAGCTGGGTATGTGATATGCGACGACTCCTATGGTGCAGGGCTGGGCTCACAGGGTACTCGTTTCTTCTACAGAAGAAAGATGAGTCAGGGCTGGCTCTCTGCCAAAAGCATCCTCCTGCCTCCTTATATCCCTGAGGGCCCACAGATAATCATGGGAGCCCTCCTGTGGTAATGCTTTTGTGTTTTTGCTACCTGTTGCTGTGCTGATTTCAGCAGCAAAGGAACAGTATGATATTTGAAGGAGCAATCGGTGCAGTCCTATTCACCTTATTTAATATGACCAACCCACTTTCTCTGTGGCAAAGGAAAAAAATAGAATTTTTCATTTTGCATGAATAATAAAATTAATATTTAT